GCAACCGGTTCTCCCGAACTGGTTCGAACTGGCTGGATCCCAGTACTCCTCCCCCTTCCTCCTCCTCCCCCCGCCCCAACATCCTGAGCCCTTCTTGCAAAAAAAAAAACCCGAAAAAAAACAACCGCCGCCTTCCTCCCATCTCTTGCAAAGGGGGTTCTTCTCTCTCGGTCTCTGCGTGGCCACCAGAGGGCGCCCTCTGCCTAAAAGAAAAGGCGGAACTGGCAGCCCGAGAAGTTTCAGGAAGAAACGGCGCATGCGCGGGCGCTTCTCCACCGGTTGGGTGCGAGGGTTTCAAACTTTGGGACCTGGGGAATGTTCAGAGGGGGGGAAAAGCTGGACTCTCTAGGACTTTGCCCCTCGCTTCCCCTCCTGGGCTCCTTCTCCGCAACGTGCAGGGGAGCCTGGCAGGCAATGAGTGAGTGCGGAGGGAGGGGAATCTTCCAAGCGGGTGGCGCGGAAACCTCCTGCTAGGACTTGCAAGGTGTTGCAAGGTCCTCCTCCAAGTCTTTGCATACCTAGTAAGGGGCGGGAGAGAACCATGGCTCCATGTTCCCCTGCCCTCCGTTCCAGTGGGGTGGGGGGGTGGAAGAGGGCGGATAGAGGTGCTAGACCAGCCTCCCTCGCTCCCCCCTCCCTGGAAGGAAACACAGCCTGATCCCCAGGAAGGAGGAGGGGGATCTTGGGGAGGGAAAGACTGAAGGAGAGGGGGAAGGCTTGCATTGAAATGCAAGCAGAATTGGGGGTTGGGGTTGGAAAGCCCCTGAATGGGAGGGAGAAGGTTAATATTGCAAAATGCAAGCAGAATTTGGGGTGTGTGTGTGTGTGTGTGGAAAACCCTTCATCTCCCCCTCCCCATTTCCTGAGAAAGCCCCTGAATGGGAGGGTGAGGGGGAAAGAGGAAGGCTTGCATTGCAAAATAACAAGCAGGATTCCTCCCTTTACCCAAAATGCTGGGTTGTAGTCAAAAGCGGGAGGGGAGAGCTACACAGGTATTTCTGGAGAAGGTGTGTACCAGGGAATGCCCAATGGCATTGTTGATGTTATCTAGTTGGGTAATAAAACCTCAGCAAGGCAACAGCCAAGCTAGGAGGACAGTTAGGACTTCACATCCCATTAAGCTGGCAGTGTGGTTGGAGTATTGCATGTTTATATATACACACACACACACCCAATCCACCTTCCCTTTAAACTGCGTGTCATCTGGGTACAAATATCTTATGCAATAAGAATTATGATTAATACAAATTCCTTGCTCTAATGTCAATGACTACATTCTTACTTTAACTATACAATATATCTTATCATTATAACAATCCCTTTCTTAACTTATTTAACTATATTCATATGTTCAATTTTTAACTTCCGATTTTATTTTCCAACCATTGATAAAAATAATTCCCATGTCATTTAATAATTCAGTTTGCTCTTTTTTCTTCAGTTGCCATTGTTAATCTGTTCGTGTCTGCACCTTCTTAATATTTTCCTGATCACATTCTCTTCTGTCGGAATCTCTTCATTTTTCCAGTTTTGAGGAAATACGATTCTAGCTGCAGTTAATCCACGAATAATTAAATACACCTTTTCTTTACTATAACTTTCAGATATCATCCCCAACAGAAATGTTTCGGGTTTTAAATCTATGTGTGGCTTTGTCATCTTTTCAGATTGGAGCATTGAATGTTTATTTTAGACGTTGGTGTCTGTTAATCTGGTTTGGGCTTGTTGGGTGAACCGTGGCCTTGTTGGGTCTCTTGACCATCAGAAGGACTCAACCAGCCAGGGATTTCCAAACAAATCAACGAAGCCACTTCACTCATCCCTCAGGGAGGATGAATATCAGACACTTAAAGGGGAAACTGCCTACAAATATTTAGTCTGAGATCCATTGTGTTGCTTCCTTGTTTCCAGAATGAAGAGTTCATTGCTTGGAGAGAGCCTCGAATGAGACCAGTTTCCAGAAGAAGCGAAGAGAGAAGTTTGGTTGCCTGTGAGGGAGAAGTAATTCAAAGCCCTCCTAAATTTCTACCTTCTGTCTTCTGGGTTATTGATTGAATCCTGAAGATTTTCCTTCTACCTGTTCTATCCAGAGAGAACCGCTTGCTTTCTCTGCTCCGGCCTAGGCCCACCCGGAAACGAAAAAGGAGATGTGAAACAGCTTGAAAATACAACATTGATTCTGGAATCTTGTTTTCTTTTCAAACTTGGAGGTTAGAAGTTGTTTGTGGGCCAAAGTATCTCATAAGGAAGGAAGGCTAGATAGTGTACCAAGATTTTTATCCAGGGCTCTTAAATCCGGTGGAGATCCATTGGCCCCTTTCATAGCCTCAGTCTTGGAGATCCAAGGCAGCTGTTGGCATCCTTTGCACCTGGATTAGAAAATGGAGGGACAACACCCGTTATACGCAGAAGCTGGACAAAGCTCTGTTTATACTCAGTTTGGGAGCTGTGAGGCAGTCAGAATAAAAACTGAAGAGATGAGCCCAGAGGAAGAATCTATCATAGCGGTCAGGATAAAAACTGAAAAGATAGACCCAGAGGAAGACTCTATCATAGCGGTCAGGATAAAAACTGAAGAGATGGACGCAGAGGAAGAGCCTATCAGCTCAGAGGTCCAGCGTGAAAACTTCAGGAAAGCCTACTACCAGGGGCCCAGAGATACCTGCAGCCGTCTCCATCACCTTTGTAATCAGTGGCTGAAACCAGAAAGACATACAAAGGCCCAGATGCTGGACCTGGTGGTTCTGGAGCAGTTCCTGGCTGTCCTGCCCCCAGAGATGGAGAGCTGGGTGCGGGAGTGTGAACCAGAGACCAGCTCCCAGGCGGTGGCCCTGGCGGAAGGCTTCCTCCTGAGCCAGGCGGAGGAGCAGAAGGAGCGGGTCAAGTTGCAGGTGAGAAACCTTCATCTTCAGAGCTCAAAGGGGGGGGGGGGTGTCTTAATATTTTTTTAAATATTTACATTATGGGATGGAATAGGTTTGTCAGACATACAATTCAGAGACTTGAATTGTAATTTGAATTTGAAAATGACAAAGGGTGTATCCTTACAATTTATACGGACTGTCTCCTAGTATGATTTGATTGCTATTATACCCTATGACTGTCATTAAGTGTCGTACCTTATGATTCTCGACTCTTGGTGGGAAAAAGAATGTATCTTTTATGTATAGAGAGCATTTGCACCAAGACAAATTCCTTGTGTGTCTGTCTAATAACACTTGGTCAATAAAGAATTCTATTCTCTTTTCTTTTCTATTCTCTTTTCTATGATTTGATTACTTATTGTACCCTATGACTGTCATTAAGTGTCGTACCTTATAATTCTCGACTCTTGGCGAATGTATCTTCTCTCTTCTATTCTCTTTTCTATGATTTGATTGTTTATTGTAACCTATGACTGTCATTAAGTGTCGTACCTTATGATTCTCGACTCTTGGCGAATGTATCTTTTATGTATACTGAGAGCATTTGCGCCAAGACAAATTCCTTGTGTGTCTGTCTAATCACACTTGGCCAATAAAAGAATTCTATTCTGTCCTCTTTTCTTTTCTATTTTCTATGATTTGATTACTTATTGTACCCTATGACTATTATTAAGTGTTGTACCTTATGATTTTTGACTTTTGGCGGATGTATCTTTTATGTACACTGAGAGCATTTGCACCAAGACATTTGTGTGTCCAATCACTTGGCCAATAAAAGAATTTTATTCTATTTTCAAAGGGACAAAAAACTCAAAGCAGTTCGGTTGTCTTTTGGGAAAAAAAGCATCTTTGAGACATTGATATATGTTAATGTTAAACTTTTGGGGATTATTAACACAAGGGCTTTTCTTCTGAAAGATGTCCAGTTGTGGCTTCCTTAATTTGAAACAATTGATCCTTTTGACATTTTCCCACCCCACGAACATAAGAACAAAGAATAATGATTCATTTATTTGGGCGGTCTCTTTATTTCCCCTTTTGTGTTCCTCACCAGGCCCAAAGGCATCTCTCTACCATTCCTCAATGTCTGGATGGAAAGAGCAACCCCTTAAATCTTTCCCAGGAACAGCTTATTTGGAAGATATCCCAGGAAAGTCGACGTTTGGGCATCCCTCCAGGTAAGGAAAGGTGCTCCTAAAATTGCATGAAGTTCTTTCCAAAAAGTCCAGCTCTCATTTGTCCTTTGAATTTCTTCTCTGTAGCATCTCCCTCCCCCTTATTCCTTTAGTGGACTGTAAAAAGGAACAGATCAGACGCCCAGCCCTTGCTTATCAATGGAGAACCCAAGGGGAGCAAGTGACCAGTTTTAAGTTTCTGAGTATTATCATAAAAGAGGACCTGACCTGGGGTACTCACGTTGCAGCCCTGGTCAAAAGGGCCAAGCAGAGATTATACTACCTGAGTCTTCTCAGGAAACAACAATCGCATGAAAAACTGCTGGTGACCTTCTACCGCTGCACCGTAGAGAGTATCTTAACTTACTGCACCTCTGTATGGTTTGCCAATTGCACAGTGGCAGATAGGACAGCGCTCCAGAGGGTTAGTCTCATTGCCTAGAAGATCATTGGTTGCCCTCTCCCTCTTCGGAAGAGCTTTATAACTCCCGCTGCCTTAAGAAAGTTCAAAACATCCTCAAAGATCCATCTCATCCTGAGAACCCTTTTTTTGAACTATTACCATCTGGCAGACAGTACGGGATAATAAAAACAAGGACAAATAGGCTGAAAAACAGCTTCTATCCCAGGGCAGTAACTATTGAATTCTACTGTATAGTGCAATATTAATGCAATATCGGGTTTTCAATTCAATTGTATAGAATGTGAAGGATGTGTGTTGTGTTATTTTTATAGCGATAATGTACACTGAAGATGGCGTTTAATTTAGTTGTATGAGGTGCAGTGACAAAGTAAACTAACTAGTTAATGAAATATGCTTTTAAAAATTCTCCTTCCATCACTTTTGTCTCCTACACAGAGAATATCATGAAGTCACTGGTATTCATGGGTCTCTCTCCCTTTTCTGGCGAACCCAAAAAAGCACCCAAGCGTCCAGTTCAGGTAGGAAGAACGTCATCGACAAAATTAATGGGGACCGTTTGCCGAGCTTCCATTTTGTTAGGGCGGCTAAGATTTTACACTAGTTTCCACCAGCAAGACGAAATAGGACAATTTAGGTGGATAGGATTGACAAAGGACACACAGCTTTGCTGCCTTCTCAAAACGGTTGAGGTGTGATGCATAAAGTATTTACACTGAAAGATTCTTAAAGAAAACCTCTATAAAATGTTTTATAGATGGCATTTTTCACCCTCAAGTTTGGCAAAGATGTTTGAGGATATGTCTGCTAAATGATGGAAATGTCATTAGACACGTGGTTCATATTATATGTGGTGGACATGTCTATAAACAGCAGCAAAAAATATTGGACAAAATACATACACGGCTGGAAAAAAATGGTAAAGTTACATATTGATTTATAACCAGAAATATTTTTGTTGGGTATTTTACCGGATAAGTATAACGAGGGGAATACATATTTGGCTTTACACGTATTGGCTGCAGCCAGAATTGTATTTGCACAACAGATTTAAAAGATACTAGAATGTGCAGAAATGGATAGATTAACACAATCAGAGAAAAGAAAGAATCTGAATATTTTTTGACTTGGGGTTTATTTTATCAATGGTTAGCTGGCAAAAAAAAAGTTAGAAACATGGAAATATAAGAAAAGGACCAATGAAAAAAGAGAGGTTTGCTAAAATGGATAAGCAAGCATTATTATGATTATTATAGAATTAATATCAATGTAATGAACATTGTTGTAAGCAGTTGGATGATTATTTTGTAAAACTCAACCAAAAGTGGAATTTGTATATGTTATAAAATAAAAAAAAACTTTATACAAAATGAAGTATTTACATTGAAAGATTCTTACTACCAGTAAGAAATCAACTTCATTCTTGCCCAGTTTTGAATCTGGCGAAAAAAAAAGAGCCCCCATTTTTCACTGGGATAGGTCAACCAAGGAAAAGAACAGACATTTTTCCCTAGGCTCATCAGTTAATACCGAAACTTGCTTTTCTTCCTTTCTCAGGATTTTGTGACTTTTGAAGACGTCGCGGTGTATTTCTCCGCGGAGGAATGGTCTCAGCTGGATCCTGATCAAAAAGCCCTTCATAAAGAAGTCATGCTAGAAAACTACAGAAATGTGGCTTCTCTGGGTAAGATTCCCTGTTATTAGTTGAGACCCTAAGAAGAGGGATCCTTCCCGTCTTATGGAACTAACCAGTTCTTGTGAACGTATCTCCAATCAGAACTTATTTCTTGGGATTGGACAAAGAGAAGATGCACTCTTCTCCTGTCCCTAGGGTAGTGATGGCGAACCTTGGTTGTGGTGTGCCAAAACTGCGCTCGTGTGTGTGTGTGCGCCAGCACCCACAATGCAATGAGCCACGCCCCCCCTGCACATGCGCATGCAACCCCCCCCCTTATCTGGACTGCGCATGTCTCCCAGCTGATTTTCGGCCCATTTGAGGCTGTTGTCGCCCTCCTAGGGGCATGAAGGAAGCCTTTGGAGGCCAAAAAACAATCAGTTTTCCGGTTTCAGTACATCTGGTATTTCCAGAAGGCCTGTTTTTCGGCCTCCGGAGGCTGCAGAGGCTTCCCTTGAGCCCCCCAGGAGGGCGAAAAAGGCCTCAAACGGGCTGAAAATCAGATGGGAGGTGCGTATGCGCAGTGCAGGTAAGTTTGACTGTGCCATAGCTTCGCCATCACGGCCCTAGGACAGAAGTGGTCAAAAGCAACCTGGTTAGATGCTCCACATGATAATTTGCCGTCTAATATTTGAGAGGGGGTCCTCCATTGTTTTTTGTTTGTTTGTTTCTCTTTAATTTTACAATATGATTAATGAGGCTCATTCTCATATATCTGTCTCTTGTTGATGGCCAAGTCCCTGTTCGTTTTTTTTTGTTTTTTTTAAAAAGACTTTTTTACTCTGAAACACAGAATTCTGGCAGAAACAATGCTGTTGTTTTCTTGCAAACATTTCATTACCCAAACTTGATAACTGTCTAGCACTGATGATTGTAGTTTGCATCTTGAAACGTCTGCAAGAAAACAATCAAGGTCAGAGAGCACCAAGGAGCCATGGTGGTGCAGTGGTTAGAATGCAATATTGCAGGCTAATTCAGTTCACTTTCAGGAGTTCAATCCCCACATGCCCAAAGTTGACTCAGCCTTTCTCCATCCTTCTGAAGTCGGCAAAGTGAGGACCCAGATTGTTGGGGGCAATTTGCAGACACCGGAAACTGCTTAGAGAGGGCAGTAACTATGGAGTGGTATATAAATCTAAGTGCTATAGCTATTTGAACCCTGAGCTACAAATATTCTCCTTTATTGAAATGCCGCAGTTTGTGATTTAGCAGAGTCGGGCAGTGAGGCGGTTGGGGAGGAACCTGGGCCAGTCCTGGAGGCTGAGGAAGGCTCGGACGAGGGCTCTGCATCAGAGGCAGAGATGGGGCCAGGGCAGGCTGGCAGTTATCAGCTGCCTTCGGAGTTGGACAGCGGTGAGACCGGGGAGTAAGTGGAGCTGGTTCCCAGCCTGCAAATGCGCAGAGCTGCCAAAACAAAAAGAACAGCTAGCAACTAAGGGTTGACATGGGAGTAAAGCCGCAGGGGGAGGGGCTTTTGCAGGAAACAATTCGTTCGTTGCAGCTATGGGGAGATCTGTCTGTGCATCTCAGAGACTGTGCCAAGTCCTTCCTTGTCAGCACTGTGTTTGGAAATATTTACTTGGCAGCTCTCCAAGCTAGATAAGGTCTGCGCTCCTAATTACACCCTTGAAAGACTGTTTGCCAGGCCTTTGGCTGAATGTGAATGCAAGAAATTCACCTCCTTTTAATAAAAGGGGTTTTGCTGGGACAAAGAGCCTGCTTAGTACTTTTTGGGGAAGCCTAGGTCAGGACAAAGGGATCACTGATTTTAGGCTTTATAATCCATCCTCCTTCATCTTTCTTTTTCCCAGGGATGGGTGGGGTGGGGTGGTTTTATGGTCAGTGGTGGTATTCAGTCTGTTCGCACCAATTTAGTAGAACCAGTAGCTAACTTTTTGTGCGGTTTGGAGAACCAGCTGATCCCACCAATGGCTGGCTCTGCCCCATCCGTTCCAGCCACTCCTTTTCTGCCTTGGCCACTTGCGTAGTTTTTGGTAAGTCGCTATGTCTCACATGTACTATAGTCCTCAACTTACAACCACAATCGAGTCCAAACTAAAATATCTTTCAATTTTTATTTTTGCAGTAGCCCGTCAAAGGTTGAAAAGGGAAAAGATTCTTTCAGCAAGAATCAGTGAGCAACCAAGATCGGAATCAGTTGTATCGGAATCGGCCTTGGATGATATAAAACAGTCACAAGGACAACCACTCCAAGCCATTCACAGGATAAATATGGAACAGATTCCTTCAGTAAGAATCAGTGAGAAACCAAGATCGGA